ATAGACTCAGCCACCAGTCCCTCTATCCCCGGTCTGGAAACGACTAGCGTTCTTTTGTCTCGAACCGCGGTGCGGGTAAACACAACGTTCACAACTGGGCCGAGGGAGTCAGGAAGTCAGACAGATTACAATACCGTCAAAATATTCATTAAAATCGGAAAATTTACCGTCATGCAAAGCGATACCTCATTGTATGACTTCACTTTGACTTCAAATTCGGGCAACCACAACGTAAACAAACATGTAAACAAAATTATCACTATGAAATTTGCGTTTTTTGAACCCTGATACGCATCACAACCAGCCTACCAACTCATAAATATCTAGTTCCTGCAATGCAAAGATTAATATCGGGAATTATGTTCATTTTCTCGTTTTAATAGGGAAAAATCTTCGCGTGCCAACATGCTGACATTGCTAAACAAATCTTGTCAAAATGGCGTCGTTTATGTTAACGTAGCCGATCGAAAAACCTGTGATATTTATGATTCTTGGGGGTTCTTAACAATTCAAGTCAACTATACAACAACTAATGACTTTATTCTATGCAAAAGTATATAACAATGCTTCAATGTTTGTATATAAATTATTTTTTAGCACAGAATTGAGTACATTGTCATTTCAAAATGTCGCCATTTGCAGTTACGATCTAAAGAATCCATAAAAGTCGCTCAATTTAACATTCATAAAATGCGGTATGACAAATAACAAATCAGCCTACCAATTTTTAATGATACGTTTCGATCATAAAATGTCATAATCGAAGACAAATATTGGTTTCGAGCCGAGAAGTATATATGATAAATAAAATAGAGTTCATTTCAATCACCCCAAAATCAAAAACGACAAATATCTGAGTATGAAAATTTGTTGCGAAAATGTGTCGCTGCTGGTAAAATAGATGAATTAAGGAACTACTCGCTGGCTAAAATATGACTTTATACAGATATCCTGATTAAAAAATTATGTGAAAAAGCATGAATTCTGGAATAAACAACTAAGTTGTAAAAAAATACATAACTGACGATGTCAAAAATAGTGGCCGGCTGCGTACTGATCACGTGACATGCTTTGC